CGCCCTCGAGTTTGCCCTGCTCTTCAGCTCCCTCCCAGCTCCCTCAAACTCTTACGGCCTCTCAGGATGTCCCTTGCTGTTTTTGAGAGAAGAAGGCAAAGAAGACTTGAGAAACACGGTTTGGGGGCGATGTCATTCCTGCCCCATGATCAAGCAGGAATTCCTCCCTTTTTGATTGACAGTTTGCACGGCCTGAAGAGAAGCGGATTGAGCTAAAGAGCCACGCTACCTTGTTTGTATTGTGCCCCTAACTATTTATGTTACTGTTGCGTGAATATTTGCTATTGCTTCATTATTGTCATCATTCTTACTAGTACCAGTACTGCGAGTGGTCCTACTACACTTGCCTACTAGTGCTGCTACTGTTAATATGCTACTGTTGCTATTCGTGTCATGCTGGCTGCATGGTTGCCGCCGTCAGTAATTTTTACGAGTGGTCCGGAGTGGTCATTCAGAGGAGGGAGACTACTTGCTGGTGCCTAGTTTGGTATTCGCAAATGGAGGACAGCAACTATACAGGATTATATATATTACATTCTATAGTGACTCCACGGAGCATTGATTCTCTAATTTTCTGCTCAGTACCAGGCAGACAATCCGCGAAAAAATCCTACGCTTGCATACCCTGCACTCTCCCAAACCTGAAGACTGTGGTAGCGGTATAATGTTTACACCTGTTCTTCCGCCTGAACATGAGGCAGAAGTGAACGGGTCCTACATGCCAGACTTTACAGGGAGCACGTTGAGGCACGGCGCAAGCATGGGTTTTTGTGTCAGGAAATGGTAGGGATTGGAGCAGCGCGCAAGTTACGAGCTCAGGTTGGGGTTGGAAAATTTACAGTTATAACGCTTTGACCAATCCATATGAGGCTTATCGTTTCCCCGAATGATACAACCCATCCACCTCCAATGATGCATATCCCCAGGGCCTAAAAACATGCGTATTCTCATGGATGTTTATCTGCTGCTGGCGGCGGTAGGCTCAGAAACCAATAGTCTCTAGCTTTTTAAACGGACTATACCCAAATCAGTGACGCATGCTCGAACTTCTCAATCTCGACTCCCAATGTGTCTAAGACCCCATGATTCCCTACACTTCAATGACTTTTGCGCAAATCAAACTGCTCTTGGCGGCAAGTCTCGAAAATCCTCCGGAACGTTTGTTTAGCATTAGGAGGTTTCGATGAAAAGGGGGAAGGGATGATTAGTGAGGCAGTACTGTTGCTTGCGCATATCTAGGTAAGAAGTTCCACGGACCTCCGGTTCTAGGAGTTGTAGTGAGGCATCTGAGATTATGAGGGATTTGGGGACCGTCTCAAAAAACCGGGCTGCTTGCTGGGTTTCCTGCGCTGTGGATCCTACCGTTCATTGAGCAATTGCGAGGCCCTTTACTGGAGAAATGCCTTACATGATTGAAGCATTGAAGCTTACTGCATGGCAGAGATGGGCAGAGTAGCACGCATCGCTCTCGGCTGACGTAGTTACAACGAGGATACTCGTGAAGTTCTCTAGGCTTCTACAAAGCTCTCATGCAGTAACACATGGGTGGACGACCAAAGATGTTGACACAACTTCTTCACGTGCCTAGCTGGCCCAGCTGTGTGCAAGACTTGAAGTTTGGTATTAGTGTGGGCATATGACAAACTTTGGAACCCCGCAGACATCACCATGTATATATCCATGTTGGGTTGGACTCTTTTTGAATGGCTTCAGGAACAAACAATGCTCCCCTTTCAAGCTTCTCATCTGACAAACAATAGACCAGAGGCTCACAAGGGCTGAACGGTCTCACCTGAACCATTCATTCAAGGCTAGGTGCTTGCCTACGCATTTCGCACCAACCCTAAGCTGAAGATGATTTACAGGCGAAATTCCAGAAGAACTCTCACTCACTGGCTCAACTTCCTTGCAGATCCCGCAGGGCAATAGATTTAGCCAGTAGGTAGGAGTCACCAAAATGGACACGGGAACTTGAGAGGCCTGGCTAGGGCGGCCCCTATGCCAGAGTTAGAGGCCCTTACTACCTGCCAAGCCAAAACGGATCCTTGACGTCATAAGAAAATGCTGAAACCCAGGTCCATGGTGTTAGGACATGCTTGTTTGGGAGTGTTTGAGACCAAAGTCCCAACGCATCCTTAAAAGGAAACCCCTCGAGTCCCTCTGTTTTTAGATCACCTGTGGGAGTCAGACGTACTACCAGGTATGTCAAGATTGAGTCCGAGGGCTCAGTGGTGGAGCTCCGCTACATCCACCCGCTGCTTGGGGTCGTCTCAGAATTTGTTGTGCTTTTAAGATCATGCCAGTTCCACATTGCACAACCCGAAGAGAGTGCTGCAACCCCATCTTGACTGGCAAGGGGGCTCTGCTGGGTGAGGCTTCAGTCGTTGTGGCAATCCTTCAGTTGATGGTATGCATAAGATCCATGACGTAGATGGATGCTCTGGTATACTTTGGGCTGGTGATTAACTGTCAATCGTTTTGAGTGAAGCTGTTGAGGTTGCAAGCTTCAAGCTTAGGGTTGGCAGGGAAGCCTGTTTCCTAAGTCAAAGGTATGTAATGGCACCAGAATGCGGACGCTGAAGTTCAACTAGTAGGTTTCAATGGGCGGTTCAAACCGTGGCTGAGTTTGGCTCTTCCTCCACGTGTCCTGTTGCTGCCCAGCTGCCGGCAAGAAGCACAAAATCCTCATAATTAATTGAATTTATCTCAGGGTGGAAGCCCAGAACATGGGATATGCCGCCTGCTGCGCTTGACCTCTGCCTGGCTTCCTGCTTCTCACTAAACCCTGGACTTGCTGATGCTTGCAGATGCAAACTTTCCTTAGTGTGGCACACCCTGAAATTTGTTCTTCCGCTGCCAGGTTCTCACAAAGCCCGCTTTAGGAGTTTGAAAATGTTTTATACTTACAAGCTCTGATGCTAGCTGTCAAGGAAGTGGGCATTCGTTTCTGTGGTGGATGGTTCCGAGCGGCTTGGATTTCTAAACTTGAGTATAGGAACAGGGGCTCCGCTTGCCAAGTAGCTGTTGAGGGTTTGGGATGGTAGTGTAGGTGATTCAGTTCTTATCAGCAACACCCGTCCAGCTTTAGAGTTTACAGAAAGCAGCATCCTACGGGAAATTCTGAAGAACCTCTGCCATGCATTCTCAAAAACTTCCAACCCTGCTTAAGATGTGAGGCAGATCTACTTCACCACTGGACCTGATTCACTCCTGGGCCAGTGGGAAGAATCAGGAGTTCTGCAGGCCCCAAAGGGCCTGGGCACCTTGGCACAAAACCATTTGGGGTAGAGCATTAAGCATGGAGTGTGTTCAGCCTGGTTGCAGGATCCGCGTTCTGAGTGCAAGAACTCAGGGCAGGGCTCCCATCATACCCTTTCAAAGCTGGGAGTGTTTTTCAGAGCGACGGTCTTTGTGTGGTGCTGCCAGTTCTTGCTCCATCACTCCGCAAAAGCGAAGAGGTTGAAACACGAGTTCAGAAGTTTTTCGGAGCTCCCTCATAAAGTCTTGAGTTCCCACACCGTAGTTGATGTCAATCGAACTTCCGGACTCTGCCGTGCTTGAAAGGGGTCTCGGGTTTAGGGTTTTGGGTTGCAGACTTACGGGCAGATCCTGCTGACTGATCCATATCTAAAACCCATGAAACTCCAACCAAGCATCAGCGGAGGAGGACTGACTTGCGAGTGCCTTCTGCAGATCGTTATGGGCTAATGCTTGCGTGGAGATTGCTCCATCATATGAATTAATGTCAACATTTTATGAAAACTGCAGCCATCTTGCGGCCACAAGTGGGACGTTTTTTGTTTTTTGTTTTTTTTTGTGTTAGGGTCCCTGACCCATCATCGCATCCACTTAGCACACATCCACAGATTATGCTCCGGAAGTGGAAGCCTAGACAGCGACAATGCGCCATGGGTCTTCAACCCAGGAGTTCTTGGGTACACGAGGCGTCAGGATTCTGATTTTCCAGAGCTGAGAGTTGTTCGCGCTTTCCAGCCATGCCGGCGACTGCAGAATCACATGAGGTTGACATGGCCAATGATCTGGAGGCTTCTATAGAGCTGAAAGTTGGTGATGAGCTTGAGTGGCAAGTCATCTACCCACGCCGTAGTCTTGCAGTGGCACTCCCTGACGGTTCAGCTGGAGTTCGTATAAGGCTGCAAGAGAACCCTGCTCTGACAGGAGTCTGGAGCCGGGTGGTAAACGTTCGGCTTTGCCGTGCTTCCAGCAGTTTCGGGGCTTTTGGTGACAGAGCTGGCAGATGGATCCAGAAGCAGCAAAGGAGTCGCGCAAAGGAAGACGCAGAAGCAGTCTCGAAGAGGCCAAGAGTCCTTTCTGCAGTTGGCTCTCAGGATGTAAGAGCAAGCGCTCGGATATTCACGGGCGGCGTCATCGAGAAGGCAGACGTACCTTGCATCTGCTCTTGGCCGGGCTGCTTCGAAGCTTGGAAGCTTTTATCAAGATTTGTTCTGCTTGTGGAGCGAGAGGTAGGTGATATAGGAGGTGGCTTTGAAGCAGCTGTCTTGAGAAGAGTTGAGGACGACGCCTGGCAGAGCATGATTGCAGCCAGCAAAGGTCGCGAGATCAGCGCTGCAACAGTGAATCTAGAAGGCTCTCCTGCTGATGGTGACGGCCAGCATGATGAGATTCCTCAGGACGAGCATCTCCCTGGCAAGTGTTGGTGCGAATATATCTACGGCAAAGAACGACCGTGGGGTTGCAGATGGTTCGAACTTTGGAGACGCAATATTGAGCTTGCTGTGGAGTCTCGTGCTAAGCTTCTCGTCTACTATCCCCAGGGCATGGTGGGTAAAGGAAAGGTCCAGGCGTGGGAGACGTTAGGTGAAGAGTACTTGCGCCGAGAGGACATCCATTCAAGAAGGCAGGCCTTCTGCGAATCTGACAAGTTCAAGAGGGCCAAGCAGGCCGGCCTCGATGAGCTTTCCAAGGAACCACGAGCCGATGGATCCTCGCCGTACAGTCGAGAGGAAGACCGGCTCTTCATGGCTTGGCTTCCTCAAGAGGATCGCGAGTTCCTCAAGGCATCTGCCGGTTTAGGGAACTTCCAAAAGGCGGAGGTAGCCTGGCTCGACAGGAAAAGATACAAGTACACGGATGTGGACGTGTCAACGTGGCTTTTTGACAGAGGCAGCGCCAAGCAGATAGCTTTCGAAGGCGCAGTCGTCGATGAACGAGGAAAGCCATGCATTTGTTCATGGCCTGGAAAGTACGGATCTGCCTGGGATTGCATGGTTCAAGCAGCAGAAGGTGGCAAGATAAGTGCCGCAGTGGTGTTCTTGCCGAAGGGTACCACGGAGCCTGCGCCACTTTTGAATAACATTGTTGATTTGAAAGGACACCATAGCTTCCAGCAACTTGAACGCGCTAGAATTCTCCAGGAGTTCGGCAAGCACGCTGAGATACCTCCGCAGGAGAAATTGGAAGGCGACTGCTGGTGCATCCCCTTGTACGGCGAGCAGAAACCATGGGGATGCAGGTGGGTGCCTTTTTACCCTGTAAGCAACATACCCCCCCCCCCCGCCAATAACGATCTTTGCTTAAAGAAACATGCGTGGATTTCGAGCGCAAAATCTACAGCCTTCAATCTGGGACATATACTTTGCACATGAAGGTCTATGCGAAGCTGGTCATGCCATAAATTGGTAAGAGAAGCCTCTCCGGGCTGATCCTAGTTTGCTAAATTCAGGTGGTGGAGCCGCTGGATTGCTAACATCGAGGAGGCGCATCGGTTTGGTGCTGAATTCCAGGTCTACTTCTTTGAGAACATGAAGGGCAAAGGCAAAGTCAGGAGGGGTTCCCAGGTATGAAAGTTGTGTGTGACATGCACATGCAAAACGCTAGTGGTTCTCAAGGGTTCATAGGACTGCATGGGAATAGGGATCTACAGAAGGAGGATTCATGCTCAGGTGTGTATCCAGCAAAGCAAGTCAAATGAGTAGGGAATATTCAGATGCGCAGGAGCTTTGAGACAGCAGGTAAAGAACATCTGCGGCGCGAGGAGATATGCAATCGAATGGAAAAATTCAGGGAGACAGATGTTTACAAGAGACTTGGCATGAATGGCAAACTTTATGACGTTTAATTATGATTTGCTGGCGAGGCTTTCGTTTCCGCTGTTTTGAAAGGACAGAGGTTTTCAACAAGGCAGCTTTGGACCACTGAAGCTGAGGAACGTCGCGGCAAGTCTGAGCAATCTTTCCAGAGACCCTTGCGCAGATGGATCCTCACCATATAGCCGCAGGGTTGACCAGGAATTCATGTCATGGCTTCCTCCAGAAGATCGCGAGTTCCTGGAAGCTTCTGAAGGTTTGGGCAACTCGCAAAAGGCCGAGGTGGCCTGGCTGGACCGAAAGGGATACAAGTTCACACCAAAGGATGTCTCTGAATGGCTTGGCGTGAAGGCACTGTAGAGTCACCAGTGACCGGAGACCACTTTGAACGGTCGAGGTCAGATGCAGGTATCCGGAAGTTGGGGGTTGACCCCTTTGCCTGGCAGAATTCTTGAGACGGCTCCCATCGTTTGTGGGGTGCTAATGAGTCCAAGCTGCTAGACATCGCACGTTCGAGGCAGTTCAATGGCTTAATTGTCAGAACGCCAAAGCCGGCAATGCCTCAGACGTGGATCTATCCATGTTTCAACTAGTTCCCGCTTGCCCCCTGACCTTTAAGACTTCAGGGTAGTTGTTGGACTGCCAAAATGGTTTGCAAACATGCTTGGCGTGAAAGCCGCCACAGCCCATGCATAATCCCGAGTCACTTTCTGCCAGACCTGCTACTTCGTGGGGGCTGCTCCGGAGAATCCTTCACTTGATTTAAGGATTGGGCGTGTGTAAGTGTAGTGTAGAGGTCTTAAGCTGAAGACGTCAGAGGGCCTGCGGGAGCGCCGTACGGTTAAGCACTCAGGATCCTACAGTCGTTGATTGCGATGTAGTGAACTCAAGCGTCAAGAGCCTTGATGAAGGGCCAGCTTCGCAACAGTAGGCAGCTCCTAGTATCCCCAGGGCTACGTATCTGTGTGACCAGTGGGCGCAATTCCTTTGCACAGTATGCTTGCTTTTATGGGCCAAGCCCCAGAACCGAATCCCTGCCCGAGTCAAAATTCCATTGCCATCGCCTGACACAAACAAAGTCTCGCGAATTGTGAGGAATCTGAATCCGTTTTAGTTTGATTTCCACTCTGCACCCCAGGCAGTCTCCCTGCCCCTCGCATCAGCCACTGGCAGCAAGCTCCACTTGAGGACATGAAGGTGGGGTTTCGCTGGCTGTTGGGTGGTGTTGGGGATTTAGGCTGTTGGGATAAGTGGTGTCAGCATGTTTCCAGCTTTAGACTTAAGACATTTGTTTGGAGCGTGCGGATTGGGAGTTCGGTGTCTGGAGCCTGAGACTTCATGGACTGAGGACTCACGCATATGGGTTGGGCGGTGCTTACGGAGCACTCTAATGGAACAGGCAGAGCTCGGACTGAACGTCACTTGCAATTGCCATGGAAGCCGCAGGAGTAGGAGGGAGGAGCATGCATAGCATGACTTACAGGGCTGCACTGATACAGTACCTAAACCCCCCAAAACCTAAAGTCTACGAAAGAAGTCCTGGAATCATGAGAACTGCCAGAGGCGGCTGAGCGCGACATGCCCTTGAACGTTCTGCCCCGCTGCGTTTGCCGGCTCCCTGCGGACTGCGGCTTGGCTCAGCAGTTGTCCTATGGGAATTCCCAGAAATCGGGGTTTGCACGGCTATTTGCGTTTACAGACTTTCAGGCATAGGGCTCTAAAAGGATTGCGAACGCCATATCGTGAATCATGATATCTTGCGGTATATGACGGGCGGACCTATTTCTTGGAAGCTACCCTGGGCATGATCCTGAGAACCCTAATCCATCAAGCCCGGACCCCAAGACCCTACAGCCAATCACCTGACTTGATTTTCGGTGTCAAGAACCAAGACCCGACTATCCAGAACCGAATCCCACAATCCACATTTCTCAATCAGATTCAAAGTACCACACTGCAGACTGTAGACCTCATGGTTGTACGGTGGCAACCCAGAGGCCCAAACGCCGGCATCATCATCTCAGAGGGCCTTGCGGATCATTTTGCAGGCTGCACAGGGAACGTTGGAACGTCCTTGAGTTTTCATCAGTTTGTTTCATCGGGGCTAAACGTTTGATGACCGCTCGCGGTCCTCTGATTCAGAGTCCTTCAAGGAATCACCTTCTGGGCAATTTGTGTCCGTTTTGTCCTTGAAAGTTTGATCTTGTAGAGTTTCAGGAGTTACGCATCCACAGCTGTGTGGTTTGCATTTTGAGGATGCAGAGCTGCAACGTAGTGGAGCGATTGATCCAAGACCTTGCGTCAATTGTTTATTGAGTTTATTGCAGGCTTCAGGTTTTTGACATAGGTGTTTAGGGCGTTCGGGCATGGAAGGGATGTTGTGTTGGTTTCTTCAGTGGGCTCTGCATGCAGTGATGCCATGCATTGCATTTTCTGGAAGCTGGCAATGTCTTTGTTGATGCGTGTCTTGACCTTTCAGCTTCGCACACGCTTACCATGAACAAAGCTAAAGCGGCTTACATGTGAAACTGCATGTGGGTAACTTTCAACAGACCCTGCTCCCGGAGAAAAGTGGTTCTAGCGGTTCTTGTGGTCGCTGTCGCTTGGTCTACACGGGTCTCAAGTCCCAAGTCTTCAGCCAGCAAAGTTTGTATGATTTCAGAAGCTTGAGCTTGCATTGAAGGCGATGCAGTGATCTTGATGGACCCGCAGATGGAAAGTGGCGTAGAGGCATGCCATTTGAAGTCTTGAAGTAGGGCAAGGGATGATACACATTAAGGTTCTCATCCGAAAGGCGAGACGTGCATGCCTCCTTGAATGGAATGGTAGCTGGATCAGGCGCACTGGTGGTAGTACTCGTGCAGGGCACCAAGTTTTCGGGCTCGTTGTTTTGGGAGTTGGCTGTGTAATCCCGCGTTCTTCTTTTTTTGTGCATGGTATACGAAAATCGAGATCTTGCAACTTTCTTGCAGGTACATGACATTGCGGCAACTAAGCCTTAAGGCGCTTGCAGAGACCCTGCTGAGTGCTTCTACATTACTTCAGAGGACTGCTCACAGCGTCAGCTGAACCAGCATAGCATGGCTGCCCATTGTGCAGGATTGTCAGGTTTATGAACGTCTCACAGGCGTCATCGTTTAGACCAGTAGCATATTAAGTTTATCCAAGACAACGCAAAAAATTCCAACGCTATGTATTGAAGCCAGATTTGCACACCAACACGTCTAGAAGTTCCTTAAGCTCCTGAGTTCAGAGTATGCTATCAACCCTACCTCCGAAGCGTATGTCCCCAAATTAGCGATAATTGAAAAGAAAATGGAAATGACGATGTTATAGCAGGGTTTTTTGCGATGATATGTTACCACAATTGATTCCTGAATTCGTCTACACCCTATGCCTTTCAAGACTCAGGCAGATCGTGGCAATACCTGGGCTGAACCCTTGCAAGGTTGACATGCCTTCCCAACAGGCCCACTTATCCTTCACACTCCAAACCCACAAAACCCGTCACAAACCCATCTCAATCCTACATCCTGATCCCCATGCTCCTGTCCTCACACTTCACATTCTATAAACCCTCTACTTACTGGTGCTTTGTAGGTTATAAGGGAATTTACTCCCTGCATAGCATATTCCCTTCTACTAAACCCCCAGTCGTAAAGTAATCTAATCCCTACATATACCTTATGATACAGGGATAGTTTTCATTTTCTTTTTAAGTATCCCAATATAACCCCATTACAGTAGTTTCCAGTTTCATTTTCCGTTGTCTTTTCTATATAACCCCAATATATCCCGAATATCCCCCACCCTCATTAAGTCTGACTCTCAAGCGAAGAGGTTGCCCCGGAGATCGCATCGCCATTGCCCTCCACGTGGAGGCTGCGGAATCCGGCTACGCCGGGCGTGGAGGGCGGCCTCCATCAGCCGAGTGGCTCTGGCCTTTGTTTAGGGTTGAAGGATTACGGTTTAGGGGATTAGGGTTTAGGGTTTAGGGTTGATTGGGGTTCTAGGTCCAGGTGGTACTTTGGGAGAGTTCGGCAAAATCCCAATAGTTTGGTGGCCGTTAAACAACCACCAGGGTTAGTGTCAGGGTTGGGGGGGATCCAGGTCGAGGGGTAGGGCCTAGAGCTTCAACAGGTTTAGTGTGGGGGGGGTTGCGGGGGGAGATTCAGCATACGTATGTCATCATTGCTCCATAGTATTGGTCACTGCATAGTTCTCAGGAATTCCACAGAAAAGAGGATGGGGGATGGAGGCTCCAGACTAGAACTTGTTTGGAGGCTTAGTGCAAAGTAGGTGTAGAGTTTTGGTAGGTCTTGGATTTTAAACTTAAGGGTCTTTTTGGGGTTCGCCCAGTTGATTTTGGAATGACATGTTCACAACCCCTCAAGCGCATACGCTGAACGGGATACATTGCCTCTGAACGTCGGACATGCAGAGACACAAGTATGTTCCAAAATGACTTGCCCCTCTTGTCGCAGTCGCCGAAACACAGTGGGTGGAAATGTACGATTCATGTAATCCTTCTTATTACAAATGGTTCAGGGGTTGGCAGGACCCGACCTATACCCAAGGATCCACCAGCCTGGAAACTTGTCGTGAGGGAACTAGACCGAAGCAAGGCTTAATTGCAAGTCCTCGCTACAAATCAACTCCATGCTTAGCTCAAGTTTGAATTCGGCGTTGCTTCAGGTGCTGAGAGCTCAGAAGACTTGCTGGGCAATTTGCGACGGGCACTTGAGGCAGGCTAAACCCTAAACCACAAACCGCGCGGGGGACAACATATATCGACACACACAGCGTGGTTGATGATCTGTGGATGCCTAGGGGGCTGCAAAGCGCTGCTGGACTCTCATAGCATTGTTGCGTATGGGGGTATAAAATGAAGGCCCCCTCCCTCTACGGCATTAAGCTGGCCGAGGAGCATCTATATAAGCCATAGTCTAAACTCCTAGTATCCCCCTTAATAGTCACTATAGTAGTCCCCTATACAATCCCCTATATAACCCCCTTTAAGGAGTTTAGGCTATCGTACATATGCTCCCCCATCATCCTTGCTCTGAGTGGTAACATGCCAGGTGCTTCGCTTCAAGGGGGCCAGCACTGTGGCATTGCGGTCGCCCAGTGGCAACGGGCAACAAGAGGCGCACAGAAGGGGACTTTGGCATGGGGATTTTAGAATGTGGGGTTGGGATTGTACACGCAGAAATCCCAGTACAGTTACGATAGATTTGCACCCTGCATCCCTGATAAGCCATATCTGGAAGAGCCAGCTAATTGGCACTTCAAGGGGCGTAAGACGTTCAGAAGCCGCTGCTGTGTGCTTTTTCTGAGTGTAGAACCTGGCATACGGCCAC